TAAAAAGGGCTTCGTTTGCACTGATCCTTAGCTAAGGTTTTCCTCAACTCCAGCTATGTAGGCCAAACTAAACAGTTAACCCCGATGGGGCTGATTTAGATTCCTACAAGAAAAGGACTCTCGGCCATGAGACGATGCGTTTTTGATGCTACCATTCTGACAAGCAGTGGCATTTCCAAAAGGGAGATGAAACCCTTGGCACAGTGGGCACAGCCGTTCCGTGAAGAGTGCAGACGTGGCATCTGCCCACTCCTCCATGCTCTTCTTCCAGCCAGAGTCAGTCACCTTTTTGTAATCTAGATGGAGTCACAACCAGTTCCCTTTTTATTTCAAGGCTTTTCTCTTGTCCAGACACTAGAAAGTACTGAGCCAGTGACTCTAGAATCAACCAAAAAAAAGTGAGAGGGCTCACCGGCAGAGCGCAATGCTTCCCCGGAATGTTCAGACCCTGCCTACAGGGCAGAGGTACTAAATTCCACACTCCACAGAAGAGATGGGAAGGTAGCAAGCACTATCCTGAGGTCTTTTCCTACGCTATTCCTTCCTCCCTATTCTCTTGCAATACAGTAAAACTCAACACTACAATGTTTCTTTACTATAACATTCACTTACAAGTGGAGCTTATTGATTACCCCTAACTACAAAAACTACATGTAATGAAAGCGTTTTAAAAACAGCACTGCAGCCAGGCACCGGTGGCTCATGTCTGTCATCCTAGCTACTCAGGAGGCTGAGATCTGAGGATCCAGGTTCAAAGCCAGCCTGGATGGGAACGTCTGTGAGACTCTTACCTCCAATGAACCACCAGAAACCGAAGAGGCGCTGTAGCTTAAGTGGTAGGGTGCTAGCTTGAGCTGAAGAGCTCAGGAACAGTGCCCAGACCCAAGCAGAGTTCAACTCCCACAACTGACCAAAAATAAATAGAAACACCCTGCCAAGCACCAATGGCTCATGCCTGTAATCCTAGCTACTTAGGAGACTGAGATCTGAAAGATCATGATTCAAGACCAGCCCAGGAAAAAAGAAAGTCTGTGAGACTACATCTCCAAAATAACCAGCAAAAAGCCAGGCTTGGAGAGGTGGCTCAAGTGAAAGAGCACCAGCTAAGCAAAGAAGTATAGCAAGCCTATGTACTTAAGTTCCAAAGGTGACACTGGCAAAAAGAAACAAAACGTTATTCTGGCCTCTCTAGACCAGAGGAATCACCAAGTATTAGAGTATGAATTAACACTTCAGGGCTTATAAGGAACTTAGGACGCAAAATCAACCTCCCACCAAAAACTAAAAAAAAACAACAGCAACAAAAACAACTAATGAACAGATGAGAAGTTAGCAAACCTTTTTAAGATGCTCAAAAACAGGGCCACTAAAAGGGTCACAGATATAAAGTGATCTGTCATTCTTCTTCATCTGTATTGCTTCTTCTTCTGTGATCATCTGAAGATACTCTTCAGAATGGAATTCCTTTATGGACTGGAAAACACACACACACCAGAAATGAGTTCCATCATTTAAGTCCTACCAACTCTTCAAAATCCATCTTCGACCCAGTCTTTTCCCTGCTGAAAGCAAGAACCTCCTCACACCGAGACGGCTGCAAAAGATGCCCAGATGGTCTCCTCCTCCCACTCAACGCTCGTGAAAAATAGGTATTCTCCATACAGTGCTTAGTCACTTTTATTGAGCACAAATCTAATGGAGTTAGGCATGGTAAGTAGCACAGGCCTGCAACCTGGCAGAGGCAGGAAGATTTCAAGGTGAAGGCAGCTTGGGAAAAGGTAGCGAGAACCTGTCTCTAAAAGAACTTGGCTCACACCTGTAATTCTAACTACCCAGGAGGCTGAGATTTGAGGACTGAGTTGGAAATTGTGTGACTCTAATCTCTAATTAATCCCAGAGAGCTGGAAGTGGTGCTGTGGCTCCAAATAGGAGAGCATTAGGCTTGAGCAAAAAGAGCTAAGGGACAGCACCCAGGCCCCTCAGTAGTCTCAAGCCCTAGGACCAGCAGGAAAAAAAAAACAACAAAAAACCTTGGGGCATGATTCAAGTGACAAGTGTGCTCTGTATGGCCTCTTGCCTTTACTCTCAGAAGCCTGAGCCACTGGTAGTGGTCTGAATGTCCATTTCTAAGACAAAAAGCCCAACCATTACACAAACAAACAACAAAAACCACTTAAAAACAAGAGAAAGTATTCAGGGCATTAAACTATTGTTATTCTTACCTCCAGAGCTTTAAAAAAACATTCAGAGTTGGCTGGCGACTTTAAAAACTTCACAAAAAACGGTTCTTGGCCATTTCTAGACATTTCTGAACTGTCAAAGAAAAAGAAAGAATGACAAAAAAATTGTGTCTGGATGAAGTGAAATCCCAGGACCCCAGGGTGCAGGAGTGGATGGGCGTGGCTTGGTGGCCCTAGGTTGAACACACAAACATCTGTGGATATCAGTACCCCCTCAGCTCACCCCTAAGTGCAGAGCCTTTAAAATAAAAATATGACTGCATATTCCCCCTGCTCAGCCCCCTTTACACAGCCTGGGTGCCCCTGTGCCCCAACTCTCCCCAGGATGCCTAGGGGCTTGGAAGACCCCCCCCAGGGTGACCTCTTGTGCCCTGGTTCCCCAGGGGAAGGCTGAGGCCTTGAACCACCCCCAAAGCCTGGGTGACCCCATGTCCCAACCCCCAGGAGTAAAGCCAAAGTCTTGAACCCGCCCAAAGCCTGGGTGACCTCGCCCACCCCACCTCTGTGCGGTTGAGCCCTGAATCTTGGACCCCTCCCCAAGCCTGGGTGACCCTGCGCCCCGACCTCCAGGTTGAGGCCTGAATCTTGCCACCCTCCTCCCCCCCCCCAAGACTGGGTGACCCTGCGCCCCGACCTCCAGGTTGAGGCCTGAATCTTGGACCCCTCCCCAAGCCTGGGTGACCCCGTGCCCGACCCCAGGGGGAAGGCCTGAATCTTGGGCCCCCCTCCCCCCGAGCCTGGGTGACCCCGCGCCCGACCCCAGGTTGAGGCCTGAATCTTGGACCCCTCCCCAAGCCTGGGTGACCCCGCGCCCGACCCCAGGGGGAAGGCCTGAATCTTGGGCCCCCCCCAGCCTGGGTGACCCCGCGCCCGACCCCCAGGTTGAGGCCTGAATCTTGGACCCCCCCCCAGCCTGGGTGACCCCGCGCCCGACCCCAGGGGGAAGGCCTGAATCTTGCCCCCCCCCAGCCTGGGTGACCCCGCGCCCCGACCCCAGGGTAAGGCCTGAATCTTGGACCCCCCCCAGCCTGGGTGACCCCGCGCCCGACCCCCAGGTTGAGGCCTGAATCTTGGGCCCCCCCCAGCCTGGGTGACCCCGCGCCCCGACCCCAGGGTAAGGCCTGTATCTTGGGACCCCCTCCCCCCGAGCCTGGGTGACCCCGCGCCCGACCCCAGGGTAAGGCCGAGGTCTCGAGCCCCGTCCCCACCCCTCAGCCCCGGTGCCCGGCGCCCCACGGGGGGCAGGCCGAGGTCGGCCCGCCGGAAGCCGGCCTTCCCGCCCGGGCCCTCACCTCGGGGGACGCCGGGGGCCCCCGGGCGGCGTCTCGGGGGCCGCGCGGCCCGCAGGACGGCGGCTGCAGTCGGGCGCCAGGCTGCCCCGGCCCCCGCGCCCCGGCGGCGCCCCCGGGCCGCGCACACGCAGCGAGCGGCTCGCCCGAGGACCCGGAAGCGGCGCGGGCGCCGAGAACCGACTTTCGCGCCAGGCCGGGGCCGCCTTTCCGGCGGGGCGGGGCTTCCGGCCCGGGGGCGGGGCTTCCGGAGCCCGCCGGTTCGCGCGCGGGAAGGCGGGAGCTTCCCTCCGGTTTCCCGGCCCCGGCGGCGGCTCCGCGGCTCCGCGGCCCCGGGCCCGCCCGGCCTGCGTGAGGCCCGGGGTTCGAGTCCGCAGCACCGCAGACGCAGAAAAAGGCCGGGAGTGGCGCTGTGGCTCGGGGGTAGAGCGCCTGCCGCGGGCCGGAGCAGCTCAGCGCCCGGGCCCGAGCTCAGGCCCCGGACCGACCGAGAAAGGAAAGACAGACGTGCAGAGACCAGGCTGGACAAGGGGCAGCCTGCCAGCCAGCCGTCAGTCTGTCTGCCTGCCTGTCTGTCAGTCTGCCTGCCTGCCTGTCTGTCTGCCTGCCTGTCTGTCTGCCTGTCAGTCTGTCTGCCTGTCAGTCAGTCTGTCTGCCTGTCAGTCTGTCTGCCTGTCAGTCTGCCTGTCAGTCTGTCTGCCTGTCAGTCTGTCTGTCTGCCTGTCAGTCTGCCTGTCTGCCTGTCTGCCTGTCAGTCTGCCTGCCTGTCAGTCTGCCTGCCTGCCTGCCTGTCTGTCTGTCTGCCTGCCTGCCTGCCTGTCTGTCTGTCTGCCTGCCTGTCAGTCTGCCTGCCTGCCTGTCTGTCTGCCTGTCTGTCTGCCTGTCTGTCAGTCTGTCTGCCTGTCAGTCTGCCTGCCTGCCTGTCTGTCTGCCTGTCAGTCTGTCTGCCTGTCAGTCTGCCTGCCTGCCTGTCTGCCTGCCTGTCTGCCTGCCTGTCTGCCTGTCAGTCTGTCTGCCTGTCTGCCTGCCTGCCTGTCTGCCTATCAGTCTGTCGGCCTGCCTGCCTGTCTGCCTGTCTGTCTGTCAGTCTGCCTGTCTGCCTGCCTGTCTGTCTGCCTGTCTTGTCAGTCTGCCTTCCTGCCTGCCTGCCTGTCTGTCTGCCTGTCTGTCAGTCTGTCTGCCTGTCAGACTGCCTGTCTGCCTGTCGGCCTGCCTGTCTGTCGGCCTGCCTGCCTGTCGGCCTACCTGTCTGTCGGCCTGCCTGCCTGTCTGCCTGTCAGTCTGTCTGCCTGTCTGCCTATCAGTCTGTCGGCCTGCCTGCCTGTCTGCCTGCCTGTCTGTCAGTCTGTCTGCCTGTTAGTCTGTCTGCCTGTCTGTCTGCCTGTCAGTCAGCCTGCCTGCCTGCCTGTCTGTCTGTCTCTTCTAAGAACCTTGGTACAGTTTCAAGGCCCCGGGAATGAGAGATCTAATGATACACAGCTCCGGTACATACGCCAGGGAGACGTTTGTTTTTCTAGGACTGCTGCAACAAATGATCACAAAGCCCCCCTAGGCGTGTGTAAGGCCAGAGGCCTGAGTTCAGCCTCTCTGGGCTGAAGTCAGGATGCCCGCCGAGCTGCGCTCCACAGGAAAGCCTCTTTTCTTTGCCCTCTTCCAACTTGAGAGCTGCCCACACATTCCTTGACTGGCGGCCCCGACCCGTCCCCCATCTTCAAAGGCAGCAGAAATGGCCAGACAAGGTTGTGGGAACCTATAAACCCAGCACCTGGGAGGCTGGACCAGGTCACGGTTCTGGGGCAGTAGTTGTCACCGGTGGACTGAGAGCCAGCAGATGAAGGGTGAGTGGGTGGGGCTCTGGGGCTGGTGACCCAGGCCAGGGGAGGAAGGGGTGACAAAGGCCATCCAGCTCTGTTCTGTTCACCTGGACCCAGCCAAGCTTCAGGCCGAGGACGGAGAGACCCAGGCTCTGGGAGACCCAAGGATAATGAGGCTGGCAGTCTGTGCTCTGCTAGGTGTGGGGGTGCTGGGTGAGTGCATCGGGGACCTGGGTGCTGGAGGGTCATTCACCGAGGGACCCCTGCGCCACAGCCCCACAGAACAATCACTGTCTAAGGGACTGCTGGGTGGCTCTGGGTGGTGCTGAGCCTGGTTCTTTTAAGTAAAAATTGTCTTTACATAACTAACACCCGCTGGCTGTGAAGATAGGAATCTAGATGAGGCAGACCTAACTCCTAGCATAGGCAAGTCATCTCTAGTTTAAAAAGAACAAAAACAAGCCGGACACTGGTGGCTCACACCTGTCATCTCAGGAGGCTGAGATCTGAGGATCATGGTTCAAAGGCAGCCGGGGCAGGAAAGTCCCCGAGACTCTTATCTCCAGTGAGCCACCAGAAAACTGGAAGTAGCGCTGTGGCTCAAGTGGTAGAGCGCTCACCTTGAGCTGAAGAGTTCAAGGAGAGTGCCCAGGCTCAGAGTTCAAGCCCCACGACCAACCAAAACAACAAAACCCTGTGCATTCATGACAGGGTGTGTTTTTACCTGGGGTAGGGTGGGGGCAGGATCCTTCATCCTGGGCTCTTGGTGGGATTAGAGAATGTGCCAGTTACCTAAGTGCCCGGAATCCCAGCTACTCAGGAAGCTGAGATGTGAAGAACCCAGTTTAAAAGCCAGCCTGGGCAGTAGGGAGTCCGTGAGACTCTTACTTCCAATTAACCAGCAAAAAGCTGGAAGTGGAGCCGTGGCTCAAGTGGTAGAGTGCTAGCCCTTCAGCAGACAAGAGTTCCGGGACAACATCTAGGCCCTGAGTTCAAGTCCCAATACTCGTTCTCCCCCCATCCCCAATATAAAGATCAACTGTTGGATCTGAGCAGACGCAGTTCTGTGAGACCTGTGTAAAATCTTCCTTAGATGGGGGTGAAGGGGAGGGGTAGCTTAGGACCCTGTACAGAGGGACCAACTCCTTGGTCTTTGCTGCCAGCCCTTCCCAGCATCTCCCCTCGGGGTGCGCAGTGAGCTCCACGGGCCTGGGATAGCCTGGGAAGGTAGACCACAGGCATGAGCGGTGGTCCAGCGAGGTCCAGCTACAGTGGCAAGAAAACACAGGGTGCACACCAGTGGTCTCTCTCAAAGTCTCTCCAACTGGCGCTGTGTTGTTTGTTCTTTCGTCTTCTGTCCTGGCCAAGTCAGGCCCTGGGCAAAAGTTCAACTTTGCTCAACTGGGGCTTTGTTTCCTAACCACAGGCCCGAGTTGCCCTGTCCCCTTGGACCTTCCCCCTATACTCTCTTCCTCATGGCTGCTGGACGAGGGCTCTCCTTGTGGTTTGAGGCCAGTAGGAGCAGGGAAGTAGTCGGTGAGACTCTCATCTCCAATTAAGCAAAAGGGAGAAGCAGAGCTGTGGCTTAAGTGGTAAGAGTGCCAGCCTTGAGCAAAAAAGCTCAGGGACGGCACCCGGGCTCGGAATTCAAGCCCCCGAACTGGCACGCTCTTGTGCACACATATCTATGTGTGCGCATGCGTGTGCTCCCACACACGAACACACACACACACACACACCTCTGCTGGTGGCCAGTGACAAGAAGTAACCAAAGCAGAGGGGGTTGCAGTAGTGTACACCTGTAATCTCAGTTTCTGTAGAGACAAAAAAATCAGGAGGATCGCAGTTAAAGGCCAGCCCTGGAAAAACAGGATTAGTGAGATGCCAACTTAATTAGCAAGCTGAGTATATCAGTACATGCCCATGGTCCCAGCTACTGGGAGGCAGAAGGATCGTAGTTCAAGCTGCCCAATCAAAAAACAGGAAACAGCCAGGCCCAGGTGCCCCATGCCCGGCATCCTAGCTACTCAGGAGGCTGAGATCTGAGGATCGAGGTTCAAAGCCAGCCTGGGCAGGAAAAGTCTGGGAGAATCTTATCCTCAGTGAGAAAACTGGAAGTGGTGCTGTGGCTCAAAGCGGTAGAATGCTAGCCTTGAGCAAAAAAAAAAAGCTCAGGGACAGGGCTCAGGCCCTGAGTTCAAGCCCCAGAACTGACCAAACAAAACAAAGCAAATAAACAACAACAAAAACCAAAACATGAGACCTTACCTGGAAAGCAACAAAAGCTAAAAGGAACGATGAGGCCATTTCACATAAAGTCTGAGGGGCCTTTTGTGTGGCTTTTTCAATTTTTATTTTTATTTATTTATTTTTTTTGTTGGTCGTAGGTCTTGAACTCTGGGCCTGGGCGCTGTCCCTCAGTTCTTCAGCTCAAGGCGAGCGCTCTACCACTTGAGCCACAGCACCACTTCCAGTTTTCTGGTGGTTTATTGGAGAGAAGAGTCTCACGGACTTTCTTGCCTGGGCTGGCTTTGAACTGTGATCCTCAGATCTCAGCCTCCTGAGTAGCTAGGATGACGGGCGTGAGCCACTGGCTTCCGGCTTTATTTTTTGGCATAATGTACTGGGGCTTGAACTTGGGGCCTAGTTCTTGGTTCATCTTGCTTGCTCAATGCTAGTGCTCTACCGTTCAGACCCACATTCCTGCAGTTTGCTGGTTAGTTGGAAGATGAAATCTCCCGGACTTTTCTGCCTAGGCTGTCCTCGAACTGCAATCCTCCATATCTCAGCCTCCTGAGTAGCTAGAATTCCAGGCATGAGGCAAGGGTGGCAGCTCATATAACATTTTTTGTTGGGGGGGGGCGCTTGAACTCTGGGCCTGGGCGCTGTCCTTCAGCTCTTCAGTTCAAGGTGAGCACTCTACGACCTGAGCCACAGCACCACTTCTGGCTTTTTCTGCTTATGTGGTGCTGAGGAATCGAACCCGGAGCCTCATGCATGCAAGGCAAGCGCTCTACCTCTGAGCCACCTTCCCAGCCCACTGACTTTGTTTATAATCGAAGGGTACAGGACGATTCAGAGACACAGACCCTGAGACCACCTGTTAGGCAGCTAATCCAGCTGCATGCACACACCCAGCCGACCCTTTCTCTTGCCTTTGACCTCCTCTTCCAGCAGAGAAAGTAGCGTGCCAAGCCCCTGCCTGCTCCTCTCTCCTAGGGCTGTGTTTGGCTGCCCCGGGGCAGACTGTAAGGTGGTGTGCCGTGTCAGATCACGAGGCCGCTAAATGCTCCAGTTTCCGAGAGGCCATGAGAAAAGTCCTTCCTGCAGATGGTCCGTCTGTCACCTGCGTGAAGAAAAGATCTCACCTGGATTGCATCCATGCCACGGCGGTAAGTCACAGCAGCCCGAAAGGGACACAGAAGTCCCTATTCTCTGTCTCTCTGTCCCTCTGCCTGTCCGTCTTATCTATCTCTCTTCCTTTCTTTTCTTTCTTTCCTTATCGACATAGGCTATAGCGGCTCACTCGTAGCGACTCAGGAGGCTGAGATCATCCACTGAGGATTTCAGTTCAAAGCCAACCCTGGCAGGAAAGTCTATGACGCTCTTATCGCCAATTAACCAGCCAAAATCTGGAAGTGGAGCTGTAGCACAAGTAGTAGAGCAGCAACTTCGAGTGAAAAAGTTCAGGGACAGCGCCTGGTCCCTGAGTTCAATCTCTAGTACAGGTGCATGCATACCTGCACACACTCATGCACACCCACATACACACACGCACACAGAGATGTAAAATTCATGTAAAACAAATAAAAATATCAATATTTTAGCTAGATTCTGCTGGCTCACACCTGTCATCCTAGCTACTCAGGAGGCTGAGATCTGAGGACCACAGTTCAAAGCCAGCCCAAGCAGGAAAGTCTGTGAGACTCTTATTTCCAATTCACCACCACAAAACCAATAGAGTAGGAGAGCGCTAGCCTTGAGCAAAAGAGTTCAGGGACAGTACCCAGGCGCCGAGTTCAAGCCCTGCAACTGAAAAAAAAAATCGGTATTTTCATATAATTGCATGCCTGGAAAGTACTGTAGAAGTGAACAAATGCAAGATCAATATCTCATAAGCAATATTCAGTTTTAAGTACCAGCCATTAATTAGAGAAAAATATTCCAGAATTGTGATCTCGCAACTCGTTTTTATTCTAAAATAACAAACTGATGTAGGAGAAGACAGAACCCTGGTCAGTGGGAAGGTAAATTAGTGCAGCCATTATGGAAATGACTGTGAAGTTTCATCAAGAAACTGAACACCAGCCAGGCACCTGTGGCATATCATGCCTATAGTTCTAACTATTCAAGAGGCTGAGATCCAGAGGATTGTAGCTTGAGACCATCCTGGGCAGAAATTTCTGTGAGGATCCATCTCCAAAATAACCAGCAAAAAGCCAGTCTGGAGGCATGGTTCGAGTGGAAGAGCACCAGCTTGGAGCAAGAAAGCCAAGGAAGAACAGGAGGCCATAGTACAGGCCCATGCACAAAAACCTAAGAACTACCGTAGATCCTTTTATAATACTCCTGGGCATATACTTTAAGGAACAGAGACACCTACACAAATCTTAGTAGCGACATGCATCATGGAGACGGCCTAGCTCTCTCTGGACCAGACACCCCTGGTAGAGAGCTAGGAGAATCGTCCCCAGCGGTAGAGGGCTCCATTCATTGCCACATCTTATCTCCACCAGGCAGACAAAGTAGATGCTGTGACCCTTGACGGAGGTTTGGTGTTCGAGGCCGGCCTGGCTCCTTACAACCTGAAACCCATTGTGGCCGAAGTCTATGGATCAGAAGATGGTGTGTTCCCTCTCCCAGCCTCCCAGCCCCCACAGGGACCTCTACTTTCTGGTGGGACCGTTCAGCCTTTGGGGGGAAGACAGGGGTGGGGGCAACGCTGCTAGAGCTCACCGTAGCCAGGTGAGTAGCCTCAGCCCAAGAGGGTGGTGCTGTCCTCAGTCCAATACCTACCCCTGGGGCTGGGCCCACGGAAGCCCGTCTCTGGAGACCGGCCCGCATCCTCCATGGGTTGTGATGCCCCAAAGATCGTGCAATGAGGAGGCTCTTCCATGTTCCCGCCTCCTGCTTATGAGGCATGACCCAGAGTCACAAGAGGGGACCATGCCATGTGCCCATCCCAGTGGCCCAAGAAAAAGCCCATGTTCACATGGGACGCTGCATGCCTACCATCGCAGCTGCTCGGGAGGCAGAGGTAGGAGGATCACACTCTTGAGGTCAGCCCTAGGCAAAAGCATGAGACACAGGCGGGCGCCTGTGGCTCACGCCTGTCATCCTAGCTACTCAGGAGGCTGAGATCTGAGGGTCATAGTTCAAAGCCAGCCTGGGCAGGAAAGTCCATGAGACTCTCACCTCCAAGTAACTACCAGGAAACCGCAAGTGGCGCTGTGGCTCAAGTGGTAGAGCGCTCGCCTTGAGCTGAAGAGCTCAGGGACAGCGCCCAGGCCCAGAGTTCAAGCCCCACAACCAACAAAAAAATGATGGGAGGTATGGCTCAGCAGGAAGAGCAACCTGCCTAGCAATCATGTGAGGCTATGAGTTTGAAACCCCAATATCACCAAGGAAAACATCCCCCCCCAAAACCAGAAGTGTACAGTGTTATATAAGCCAGGGGTAGTTGGCAGCCTCAGAGGGGTTCGGTTTTCTCTCCCCTCCCTGCTTACCTGGGAATGGCGCCCACCTTGGACCCTCCGGGAAGAGCTCAGCCGTGGCGAGGGGCCATGCCCCATAGGCCTCTCTTCCTCCCTGCTCCTCTGCAGATCCACAAACCCAGCATTACGCCGTGGCCGTGGTGAAGAAGGGCACGGACCTCCAGCTGAACCAACTGCGGGGCGCCAAGTCCTGCCACCCAGGCCTGGGCTGGGCAGCGGGCTGGCATGTGCCTCTGGGCGCACTGCTGCCCTCTGGGTCAGGTGAGCCAGCTCAGGTGAAGGGGGGAGGGAGGGGGTCTCACATTGGTGGTCCAGATGGACCACGCCGGGGTCCTGAGTCACCAAGATGTGTGGGGGTTGGGGGGACCCCAGCTCTCCCAGGCTCCAGGCCGACTTTGCGAGCAGGGCCCTCGTGGTTCCGGGCCCCATCTGGGTACAGTATGGGGCATGAAGTGCTCACCCCTGTCCGCAGACGAGCCGGGGCCCGCGCGTCCGTCTGAAGCAGAGGCCGCCCGGTTCTTCGGCAGCAGCTGCGTCCCCTGCGCCAACGCCACGTTCCCCGGCCTGTGCCGCCTGTGCGCGGGGAGAGGGACGGACAAATGCGCCTGCTCCTCCCAGGAGCCCTACTTCGGGTACTCGGGTGCCTTCAGGTGAGTGCCGGCTGCCGCCCCTCCTTGCTCTTCAGCTGGGCACCTGGGGCTCACTGGCTACCGGGAGGATCGCGGTTCGAAGCCAGCCTGGAACTGGAACTGGGTGTACACAAACGGTAGAGCTACTGGCCTTGAGTGGAAAACTTCAAGGGGGACAGCACCCAGGCCCTGAGTTCCAGCCCCTGGATGGGTGCACCTGCGTGTGCGCGCACACACACACACACACACGTAACACACGCATGCACACTCAGAGTAACAAAAGTCCCTGGAGTGGTAGGCCTGTCCCAGGTGGCTCCAGGGGCCTGTCGTTGTGTCCACCCAGCACCACACCAGTGTTTTGTGTGGAAGTCTCCTTCCTGTCTCCCCTGTACCTCTCCCCGCTCCCCAGCTTGGCGTGAGTCTGTGTTACCCTCCTTACCCTCCCCAGACCACGAGAGGATGAGGGATTCTAGGATCTTCAGACACGAGACTGGGATGCTGGTAGGGCCAAAGCCAGGCGGTGCTGACGCACATCCTGTGTTGAACCTCACCCCCCCCCCCCCCCCCCCGCACGTTCCACGCTCCCCACAAGAGGAGCGGGCCTGTTCAGAACCGACAGCAAAGCCGGGCGACTGCTCCCGCCCGTCACCCTAGCTTCTGAGAAGGCTGAGGTCTGACGGCCGTGGTTTGGAGCCAAGCTCAGGGCAAGAAAGTCCGTGAGACGCTTATCTCTCGTTAACCAGCAAAAAGCCAGAAATAGAGGTGTGGCTCAAGTGGGAGAAAGCCAGCCCTGAGCAAAAATAAATAAATAAATAAGTGAAGAGAGAAAATAAGGCCCTGAGCTGAGTTCAAGCCCCGGTACTCGCATTGAACCAAACCAAAACTGTTTTTTGGTTTTGTTTTTTTTTCCTGCCAGTCCTGCGGTTTGAACTCAGGGCCTAGGCACACTGTCCCTGAGCTTCTTTTTGCTCAAGGTTAGCGCTGCTACCACATGAGCCACAGTGCCACTTCTGGCTCTTTCTATGTCTGTGGTGCTGAAGAATTGAACTCAGGGCCTCACGCATGCAAGACAAGCACTCTACCACTGAGCCACATTCCCAGCCACCCCCCCCCCCCATAACTGTTTTATTCAGAGAATTCATAGACCTCACCCCTTCCTCCCCTAACCCCCGGGAGAGGCCATCACTCTGGTGATGACTTAAAGGCCCTTAAAAGCTGGGGGGTGGGGGGAAGTGGGGGACTGTTGGATGGACGGTAGAGATGGCGGGGGGGCCCAGGGCCCAGGGTCTGATGGTGGCTTTCCTGCTCTCCAGGTGTCTGCGGGATGGCGTGGGGGACGTGAGCTTCGTGAGGCACATGACAGTGTTTGGTAAGTGGGGGGAATAAAGGAGCAGAAGGCTTTCCCCACAGCTTCCTTACACCTCGAGATGACTGACAGCCATCTGTTCAAAGCCACAAAGAGACTTTTTTTTAATGAAAACTTTCTATAGTTTGCACTTTTTTTTTTTTTTGGTCGGTCATGGGGCTTGAACTCTGGGCCTGGGTGCTGTCCCTCAGCTCTTCAGCTCAAGGCTAGAGCTCTACCACCTGAGCCATAGCGCCACTTCTGGTTTTCTAGTAGTTTATTGGAGATAGGAGTCTCACGGACTTTCCTGCCCGGACTGGCTTTGAACCACGATTCTCAGATCTCAGTCTCCTGAGTAACTAGGATGACAGGCGTGAGCCATGGACGCCCGGCTCAGATTCTGGATTTTATCATCCGTTAGATGATAAACTTAGGGTCTCACTCGACGTGGATGAAATCTAAATGAGCCGGGCTCCCGTTCATCGCCAGGGCTGAGGTCCTCACGTTTTCAGTTCCTGACAGCCTGATGTTTTTGCACGATGTGGTCATTCTCACGTTCTTCCTGCCCTGGGTCGGCCCTTTGCGGGTCACTCTCCTCATTACCTCCTACTGTACCATTTGGTTGGCACTTTGGCAATGGATGTGTGTCCTGCCTGCATTCGTATTTTTTTTTTTTTTAATGATTGGGGTCACCTCTCGGTCTCATTATGCAGACCAAGATGGTTTTAAGACAATTGTCATTCTGTCCTTTGGCCGGTCAAGTACACCACAGAGAGGCTGTGGGTAGCCTCTTACAACCCAGATTGACTTCGCCCCAAACTATTAATGTCTGCTAGTTGGTACATATGGTCCCTTTTTGCTATTCATGTATTACATTCATTCATTAATTGATTGATTGATTGTGCCACTCCTGGGACTTGAAATCAGGGCCTGGACATTGAGCATTTCTTTTCTTTTCTTTTTGGCTCAAGGTGAGCGCTCTACCACTTGAGCCACGCCACCAATTCTGGTTTTCTGGTGGTTTATTGGAGATAAGAGTCTCATAGCCAAGCCGGGCACTGGCCTGTAATCCTAGCTACTCAGGAGGCTGAGATCTGAGGATCGAGGTTCAATGCCAGCCCGGGCAGGAAAGTCCGTGAGATGCTTATCTCCAATAAATCACTTGAAAACTGGAAGTGGTGCTGTGGCTCAAGCGGTAGAGTGCTTGCCTTGAGCTGAAGAGCTGAGGGACAGCGCCCAGGCCCAGAGTTCAAGCCCCATGACTGACAAAAAAAAAAAAAAAAAGAGTCTCATAGCCTTTTCTGCCCCGGGGCTGGCTTTGAACCGAGATCTTCAGATCTCAGGCTCCTGAGGGAGTTAGGATCACAGAGGTGTGCCACCTGGTGCCGTTTTGAGAGGGGACGCGAGTTCTATTGCACTCCATTCTCTTCCAGCTTGACCTCATCTTTGCGAATTACAACTCGCAGGTGCCTAGTTCCATCGCCCCTTTGGATACCTCCAAGGAGCGTGTTTCTCCGTATCTGTAGAGAGCCCTCGCTGGGCACCTAGGCCTCTTTCCCCCCTTTGGCCCTACATCCTGCACTATGACGGGGAGCACTGGCTTCTGCTTCCTGTATGTAGAACATGAGTTTGAGGGGACCAGCACCGGTGGCTCACGCCTGTCATCCTAGCTACTCAGGAGGCCGAGATCTGAGGATCACGGTTCAAAGACAGGTCTCATCTCCAATTGGAGACATCTCCAATAACCCAGCAAAAAGCTGAAGTGGAGGTGTGACTCAAGAGGCTAGAGCACCAGCCTTGAGGAAAAAAAAAAAGAAAAAGCCACGTGAGTAGGAGGAGGACTCAAGTTCAAGCCCCAGAGTGCTGGGGACGATTTTTCTGTTAAGTCCTCTTTGGGTCACACAGCTGTGGCTCACTGTGGGGGGGGACAGGTGCACAGCGCATGCGCGGTGGGGGCTCTGCCTGTGGCCAGCCGGCCTGTGTTCTGCCTCCCCCCAGAGGTCCTGCCCGAGAAGGCCGACAGGGACCAGTATGAGCTGCTGTGTCCGGACAACACCCGGAGGCCGGTGGACGAGTACGAGCAGTGCCACCTGGCCCGGGTGCCCTCCCACGCCGTGGTGGCCCGGAGCGTGGACGGCAAGGAGGACCTGATCTGGGAGATTCTCAACAAGGCCCAGGTATTCCCGCCACCGCCTGGGGGGATGGAGGACCACCCCCCCACCCCCCCACCCCCGCTTTGCCTTCTGCCTACCCCAGAAATCCTGGGTCTACCAGTCACAGTCAAAATTCTCCTGTGCCGGGCACCATGGTGGCTCCCGCCTGACATCCTAGCTACTCAGGAGGCTGAGATCGGAGGATCACGGTTCGAAGCCAGCCCGGGCAGGAAAGTCCGTGAGACTCTTAGCTCCAATAAACCACCAGAAAAGCGGAAGTGGCGCTGTGGCTCAAGCGGTAGAGCGCTGGCCTTGAGCTGAAGAGCTGAGGGACAGCGCCCAGGCCCAGAGTTCAAGCCCCAGGACTGACGAAGAAAAAAAAAAAAGTATTTCCGGAGCATGGTGAAGTGCAGGGAATGGTGGCTGTGTCCTGTCGGGGAGGTGGGGGGGGGGGGGCAGTAGAGGTGACAAGTCTCTCCCTTTCTCTGGTTTGGTGTTTGTATCGTGTCAACCTTCACCTCGGTGTCAGCTCCTTCCTGTGCTCTTCCTCTTCACCTTTCAACAGGAACATTTTGGAAAAGACAAGAGGTCAGAATTTCAACTCTTTGGTTCCCCGCACGGGAGAGATCTGCTGTTCACCGATGCCGCCCGGGGCTTTGTACAGGTCCCCCTTAAAATGGATGCAAAGCTGTACGTGGGATATGAGTATCTTTCCACCACTGGGCAGCTGGAGACAGGTATTAGGGGTGTGTGTGTGCGTGTGTGTGTGTGTGTGTGTGTGTGTGTGTGTGTGTGTGTGTGTGTGTGTGTGTGTTATAAATATTGGGCCTTGAACTCAGTGCCTAGCTTTCTTTGCTCAAGGCTAGCGTTCTACCACTTGAACCACAGCTGGCTTCTGGTTTTTTGGTGGTTCATTAGAGGTAAGAGTCCCCTGGACTTTCCTGTCCAGGCTGGCTTCAAACATGATCCTCAGATCTCAGCCTCCTGAGTAGCTAGGATGACAGGCGTGAGCCACCGGCACCCGGCCTGTGAGGAGATTTTCTGATGAGCTGGGAGAAAGTCTTAAGTTATATGATCACCCAGAGGAATTTGAAGACCTTCATGTTGTAGGTAACTTGAAGTAATGATGGTTCTAAGTCCCTGTACTCAACGGGGCGACCGTCCCAGTGACAGGAAGAACAATCTGATCTAAGCAGGAGTGAGAATGAGCCACTAGGCCACTCGAGAGCAGAACTCCAATTCCAAAGATTCAGGGTCCAGCTCCTGCTTTCCACCAGATTCACCACAATGCACTTATTTATATCTATATATGTGTATATATAATATATATACTTATATATATTTTGTTTGTTTTTTGGATCCAGTTGTGGGGCCTGAACTCTGGGCCTGGGCGCTGTCCCTCAGCTCTTCAGCTCAAGGCTAGTGCTCTACCACTTGAGCCACAGCGCCACTTCCAGCTTTTTTTTCTTTTTGCTTATGTGGTGCTGAGGAATCGAACCCAGGGCCTCAGGCATGCAAGGCAAGTGCTCTGCCACTGAGCCACCTTCCCAGCCCATATACTTATATATCTATATATTTAGATACCATCCTGCCTCCCTCCTTCCTTTTATTTTCTTTCTTCGCTCTTCTTTTCCTTTCCTCTGTCTCTTCTTCTTCCATTTTCTCTTTCCCCTCCCTTTCCTGTCTCTGTCTGTCTGTCTGTCTGTCTCTCTCTCTCTGGGAAGTCCAGCCTTGAATGGAAACCCCAGAAGTCTCTGCTTTGGGCTGGAGCTCCACGAGGCCTCTCTGAGTGGGGTGAGACCCTCGGTTGGCAGTCCCAGGAAGCGGGGGAGGCGTCCTGTGGGGTGGGGGGGTCCCTGACCCTTCTTCTCTCCCTGTGCTAGGTGTGGGGGAATTCCCAGGGGTGCGGTGGTGCGCGGTGGGCCGCCATGAGAAGGCCAGGTGTGAGGAGTGGGGTGCGGTGAGCGGCGGGGCCCTGGGGTGCGCCGCGGAGGAGACGCCCGAGGACTGCGTGGCAGCCATCATGGTAGGAGGGCCTGCAGGCCAGAGGCACAGAGCTTCTGCGGAGGGGGGGCCCCGCTAACGTTCCACCCCCCCCAACCCCCACACCTGCTACTCCCTCAGTCGAGGGCCAGCCCGAGTCCCGGGTGACCTCCTGGGGCCTCAGGCCCGGGCCCTAAGGGAACTCAGAGGGGTGCCCTACTTTCAATAAGCGTAAGGAATCTTCTAGGATGTGGATGGGGACACTGTGGGATTGATTGATTCTTGTGCCGGTACTGGGACTTGAATTCCTGACCTCCTACTCTCTGGCTTGGCTTTTCTGCTCAAGGCTGGTGCTCGACCACTTGAGCCACACTTCCCACTTCCTAATTTTGCTGGCTAATCGGAGGTAAGAGTCTTAAGGATTTGTCTGCCCAGGGTGGCTTCAAACCTCTGATTTTCCTAGGTAATGAAATCATCAGGTTAAAAACTACTTATTTTATTTGTTTGCCAGTTCTGGGGCTTGAACTCAGGGCCTGGGCACTGTCCCCTAAGATGCTTTTTTGCTCAAGGCTAGCACTAGCTAGCACTCTACCACTTGAGCCACAGCGCCACTTCCAGCTTTTTCTGTGTATGTGGTACTGAGGAATCAAACCCAGGGCTTCATGCACGCTAGGTGGGCACTCTACCACAAAGCCACCTCCCCAGCCCCTAAAAACTACTTTTAATAGCTGTCTACAACTCCACCAAGTATTTCTGCCTCAGTTGATTTGACCAGGTTCTAAATATTGCCATGTGAGTAATTTCCAGATCCCTAGTTATTACAGGTAATACAGGATTGAAACTTTAGTACCTGGGTCAATATTTAATGAACTTAATTGATTTTCAATATTTGCTTGATCTTGACAGATTCATATAGCTCCTGCTTTCGTTGTTGTTGTTGTTAGTACTAGGGATTGAACTCAAGGCCTAGCATGGCTTTGAACCACTATCCGTAGATCTCAGCCTCCTGGGGAGCTAGGATTCCAGGCGTATGAGCCACCAGCGCCCCGCCCTGACGCTCACTTTGACGCGGTAGCTTTGGTTAGCACGGGGCTTGTGATGTGAGGGGCTGGCAGGTAAGAAAGCTGAGGGCCAGCAGGATGGGAGAGAACAGGCCTTGCTGCTCACCACTGATTCGTTTCTGCAGAAAGGAGAAGCTGACGCCATGAGTTTGGATGGCGGACACGTCTACCTCGCAGGCCAGTGTGGGCTTGTGCCTGTCCTGGCAGAGAATTACGGTGAGTGGAGGGGGACACCTCTCTGTCCCAGCCCCCGCCCCAGATCACAGACGTAGAAAATCAAGCTAATAATAGAGTTGCAAGAGAGGGAGATGACAGGTGACAATTCCCTTCCCTGACGTCAGAACTGGGTAAGATACAGATGTAGGAGCTGGCCGGGTGGAGCTCAATGAATACCCGCCCCCCTTTCTTTTAAATGGAGATAGTGGTGTTGGACGGTATGGAGTAGAACTTACATACCTATCGTGAAAGGATCTTTTGCCAGGATCTAGAGTGATCCCAGCCTCCCTCTGTTCTTCCTTGGACCTCGATCCTCCTATTTATGCTTCCTCAAACAGCCAGGACCACAGACAGCCCTCCCGCCCAGGTTTTATTAATTTAGATGGGGGTGGGGGTGGGAGGCGGCTCCCGTGAGCTTTTTGTCCAGATTGCCTCAAACCACAGTCTTCTCAGTCTCGGGCTAGGTTAGAATGACAACAGCAAGCCCCGGGTGCCTTGACTCTTGTTTTCGATGATGGAGACACACTGACTTTGGATGGAGCTGCCGTGAGGGTTTCAGAGGCTGGGTTCCTCGGCTACTTCTATTTTCCTTTCAGAGCCTAAACAAGGGAGTGAGCGTCGTGGGTCCAAGTGTGTGAACACGCCCTTAGAAGGTGAGTGACCACCCCTGGGGCTCAACTAGACTTAGTACTGGGAAAGATGGTGAGAAAACCTTAAACACACACACACACACACCTTAAATAGTTGGGTGCCGGTGGCTCACGCCTGTCATCCTAGCTACTCAGGAGGCTGAGATCCGAGGATCAAGGTTCAAAGTCAGCCCAAGTCGGTGAGACTCTTCTCTCCAATGAACCACTCAGAAAACAGGAAGTGGTGCTGTGGCCCAAGTGGTAGAATAGTGCTAGCCTTGAGCTGAAGAGCTGAGGGACAGCGCCCAGGCCTAGAGTTCAAGCCTCACAACCAACAAAAAAACACCCTTAAATAAACTTGCTGGAATTGGAAAGCAGAAAAAGGAGGAAGAGGAGGAGATGGAGGCCCAGTTCACTGTTACAATTTGCACACCTGTCCCAAAGCATCCATAATGAATAACTAATAATTAACAATAGTTAATTGGGGGCTGGGAAGGTGGCTCAGTGGTAGAGCGCTTGCCTTGCATGCATGAGGCCTTGAGTTCGATTCCTCAGCACCACATAAGCAAAAATAATAATAATAATAATAAAAATAGTTCATTGATACAGCACAGACAGGCAGCTGACAAAGGAGTCCTTCTCCATGTGGACTCTTGCCCAGCACCCCCAGCTTTGGACCTTGGGGGTTCCATAGTATACAGGTAGGGAAACTGAGGCTCAAAGACAGCCTGGCTTGCACAGGACCATACAGGCGGGAGAGGGAATGCCCGTGAGCTTGCGAAGAGGCGGGGTGATGGTCACACAGCTCCCCCTCCTCCTGGAAATTCCTGGCTCTCCTTTTCATCCTACGGGGTCCGGAAACCACAGGTGTTCAAACAGATCTGATTCACGTCGAGGTTTGAGGGGGAGGCCGGCGACCTGAGCATAGCATCTCCTGTGAGACAGAAGGGGCCACGTGGCCTTCGACCTGGGGACGGGAAGCTCCACCTTCTGCCAGAGCTCCTGCATCCTATTTGGGGGAGGGGGAGGAGGGAGGCTCCGTCCTTCCCCTTCCCCCATCCCAACCCCTTCTCTTCCCCATCTTGGTGTTTCCCCTTGCAAGGCTATTACGCCGTGGCTGTGATTAAGAAATCAGATGTTGGAATCACCTGGAATTCTCTACGGGGCAAGAAGTCCTGCCACATGGGGGTTGGCACCTCTGCGGGCTGGAACATCCCCATGGGTTTAATATACAACCAAACTGGGTCCTGCAAGTTCGGTGAGTGTGTTCTTGCGGGTGTGGCGGGCGTGTGGGCCTGGGGAGGGGGATGGGAGAGACTCGTGCAGGGGCCTTCCCTCCGCCCTCACCCCTGTGCTCCTGGGAGGCGATGGGTTTCAGGGAAAGATGAGATGGTCAGAAAGATATCAGAAATGGCCTCAGGGAGCAATGGGAGCACGTGTGGTATACCTGCATGTGGGCATGCATTTGACTTTGACACCTAAGCCACACATCGGACCTATGTAATTCCTTCCTTCCTTCCTTCCTTCCTTCCTTCCTTCCTTCCTTCCCTCCCTCCCTCTCTCCCTGCATCCCTCTCTCTCTCCTTAGATCTGAGCCTCCTAATTAGCTAGGATTACAGGCGGTTTACACTAGGATTACAGGATTACACCAATGCCTGGATTATCAGGTTCTGATTTTTTGTTTTTTTCCTGGTTAGCTTGTGGAGTTTCAACTCAGGGCCTGGGCGCTGTGTCCCTGAACTTTTTTTTTGCTCAAGGCAAGCGCTGTATTACTTTGAACCACAGCACCACTTCCGGTTTTCTGAGTGGTTCATTGGAGATCAGAGTCTCACAGACTTTCCTGCCTGGGCTGGCTTTGAACGGCGATCCTCAGAGCTCAGCCTCCTGAGTAGCTAGGATGACAGGCGTGAGCCACCGGCACCCGGCTAGGTTCTGATTTTTAATAATGATATGCCAGCATGTATAAAGAAGTACTACAGATCAAGAGAGTCGGGCAATTTTAAGAAGACACTCCAAGGCTTTCCTGCTATGGTGGGAAGATCTGATTCCGGCTGTCCTTCCCCACAGACAACTTCTTCAGCCACAGCTGTGCCCCTGGTTCTAACCCCGACTCCCGTCTCTGCGCGCTGTGTGGTGGGGCTGATAACCCTGCCCATACATGTGCTCCCAACAGCCAGGAGAGGTACTTCGGCTCGGCCGGGGCTCTCAGGTGAGTGGGGTACATGCACCTCCTTTCTCTCTGCACGCACGCACACACACACACACCGGCGAACTCCTCATCCTCATCCAGCATCATCTAGAAGGAGCCAGCAGCAGAAGCCAATTACAATTTCCTCAGTGGCTCCAAAGACCAAAATCAGGCCTGGTTCTAGAATATTCCCCTGCAAGCCCCGCTGACTTGAAGCATCTCGGGTGGAGTCCTGGGGAGAGGCCAGAGTGCTGGCTGTAGGGTTGTCACCTTGAAGTGTGGAAGTGTGTGTGTGTGTGTGTGTAAGGAGTGTGACTCCTCACTGATTTGTCCCTCACCGTGCAGGTGTCTAGTTGAGAAGGGAGATGTGGCTTTTGTGAAGCATCGGACGGTCCTACAGAACACCGCCGGTATGTCACCACTGTGCTTCCCTGTCTTGTCAGATAGGAAACTCTTTCAGTGACTTAAGTCCTTATACTTTATTTTTGTGTGTGTGCCAGTCCCGGAGTTTGAACTCAGGGCTTGGGCGCTGTTTGTGAGCTTCTTTTGCTCTAGGCTAGCATTTCACCACTTGAGCCACAGATCCACTTCTGCCTTTACTACTTCTTCTTCTTCTTCTTCTTCTTCTTCTTCTTCTTCTTCTTCTTCTTCTTCTTCTTCTTCTTCTTCTTCTTCTTCTTCTTCTTGCCAGTCCTGGGGCTTGAACTCAGGGCCTGGGCACTGTCCCTGAGTTTCTTTTGCTCAAGGCTAGCACTCTACCTCTTGAGCCACAGCGCCACTTGCGGCTTTGTCTGTGTCTGTGGTATACTGAGGAATCAGACCCAGGGCTTCGTGCATGCTAGGCGAGCACTCTACCACTGAGCCACCTTCTCAGTCCCTGCACAGACATTCTTAATCTTAATATTCATTCAACTAATTGATCTTTCTCTTCTTGGCTAAGCTTTTTTTTACGTTCATTTTGTGAAATCTTTGCCCTTAAATGGATTAAAAAAGCACGAGCCAAAATTGGTTATGGGTGCCCGGGTTTTGTTTTCCTGTCCTGCTTTACTGTAAAAGCGTTGTTTCGTTTCTCTGGGCCTCTGAACTCTCGCAGGTATCCACTGTCTGGCATGCTGTCACCAAATCCATCAGCTGCGCCTGACACGTCCCTCTCTCCCTAGGAAAGAACCCTGAGGCCTGGGCTAGGGACCTGAAGCAGGACGATTTTGAGCTGCTCTGCCTTGATGGTACCAGGAAGCCCGTGACCGAGGCTCAGAACTGCCACCTAGCCACAGTGCCGAACCACGCCGTGGTGTCAAGGAAAGATAAGGCAGATTTTGTTCGCAGGATCCTCTTCAACCAGCAGGTACGGGCTACTCCGTTCATCCTTTCTCCCTTACGGAACTGGCTCAAGCGGTCTCACGCCAGGCTGAGCTTAATGTAGGGAAAGCAGAATGGAGGTTATTCTTCCTGACCCATAGGGGGCGCCAAACCGCACTTTCCTCAACCTGGGCAGGCTTGGTGCTATCCTGGGCTTCTGGGCGCCGGTGGCTCACGCTTGTCATCCTAGCTACTCAGGAGGCTGAGATCTGAGGATCGGGGTTCAAAGCCAGCCTGGGCAGGAAAGTCCGTGAGACTCTGTATCTCCAAGGAACCACTCAGAAAACCAGAAGTGGCGCCGTGGCTCAAAGTGGTAGAGCGCTAAGCCTTGAGCACAAAGAGCTCAGGGACAGCACCCAGGCCCTGAGATCAAGCCCCAGACAACATTGAGACACATTATAATTTGTGATCAAATCGTGCTTGAGCAGAGATGAGCGAGTTGGCCAACTGGGAGCTCTGTCTACCGTGGTTTTGTCAACATCATCTCCATTTACAAATGGGTAAACCAAGGCTTGCTCTTCAAACCACAAAACAAGGATGTAGCGGGGCTAGGATCTGAAACCAGAGATTCATTGCTTCCCGACATTTTACTACAGTACTTACTAAGCTACCCTGTGTCTGGGTTTCTCATAGGCTAGACCCAAGTAGTCAAGCAGATTCAGGTCTTCTGAGCACAATACCCAATCTCATGCTTCTGGAAAACTCTGTCTGTCTGTCTGTCTGTCTGTCTGTCTGTCTGTCCAATCCAGGAGCTCTTTGGAAGAACTGGGTTTGAATACCGGATGTTCCAGATGTTTGACTCCTCAGCCAAGGACCTGCTATTCAGTCATGACACAGAATGTCTGGCCAACCTGCAGAACAAAACAACTTACGACAATTACGTAGGGCCAGAGTATCTTACGTTCATGGCCAACTTCAAGCCATGCATAGTCTCCGGTAAGTAGAACGGAACTCCAAGGAGAAATGACCCGGCGACGGAGGTCCATGTATTTGTATTAAGGGTTAATAGCTAAGAACAAAACAAGGTGGAGAGGGTCTCCCTGCCTGTAAGAGGATTCAGAAGTCTCAATGAGGTGACTCAATTAGACCACTCAGCTCCAAAAGGCTGAACTGTCTTCCAGGGGACCATGGAGTGTGGTCAGACTTCAGATTTCTTGGGAACTGAACTTGGGTTCATGTTATTCCCATTTATTTGCTAAAAAAAAAAAAGGGGGGGGCCTCCCATGTAGGCAGAGGGCTTGGGAAAAGACATATTATATCTAACAACCCAGAGAGGACTCATTTGCCAATGCTTTTAAGTAATATGTATAAATAACACTAATGGGAACAAAAAACAGCACTGGGTTAGACCCTTTATACAATACATATTTAAGAAAACATGACTAGGTCAAAAAGCAATAAATACGGGGAGCCCTGATGGTCTTTTCTCTTGGCTTCTGCTTCACAGAACTTCTGGATGCCTGCACCTTCCACCGAAATTAAAGAGAAATTAAAAATGGACTCCTGGGAGCCCCCGCTGTGGCAGAGCCAACCGTTGCTTCTCTCCGTGTAGATGTGTGCTAACCTCGGTCATCTTTACAATTTTGATTTAGAATGAATAAAAACTCTGTGTCCTGGCTGGCTCAAAAAAATGTGAGCAGATTCTGCTGCCTGCAGCCTTAGGCCGCGCTCCTTGGAGCCCCTCCTACCCGACCTGCTGTGCCCCAGCACCCAGCTCTGGCCTGGGCCTTGATCTGGACACTCGGCCTTGACACCTCGGGCCTACCCTGCCGCCCCACCTGCCTGGCCTGCCCTTTGGCCTGAGGGGCAGCGTGGGGAACAGAAGAGGAGCCCGGGGTGCCCAGGACACAGCCTTGAGTCCCAGGCATGGGCCAGTGCCCCCATGCCTCTCTGGTCTCCCTGCCAAGGGTCTCCTGTGCCCCTGCCCGGATCTGACGGCTCATGTTGGTGCTACACAAGCTAGAATAGATATATTTTGAGAGAGAGGATGATATTTTTAAGACAAAGGCCACCGTTAGCTTTCCTTTAACTCTATAGAACCCCCAAAAGAAGAATGGCCCTTGGACGGTCTGAGCGGACAGAGCTTGGCCAGGTCCCGCTGGAGGCCAGAGCTGCCCGGGTCCAGCCTGCAGAGTATACATACATGGCTATTTCCTATTTTACTGTTCTTCAGATTTAGTACTTGTAAATAAACACACATTAAGGAGAGATTAAACATTTTTGCTACATGCAAAAAAAAAAAAAAATGTGAGCAAAATAACCTGGCTTATGTATCCAGAAAAGTGTGTAGAAAGTGTGCCACCAATCCTAGCAGACCCTCATGCAAACAGAGGTTATGTTTGCACCCAGCATGGTACAGCCGTGCAAATGAAAGACTGTGCCTACACCAATTATAGCAGTCCCTCATTAAAAAAATAAAAAGGGACAGACTGTGTTTGCACCAATCACAGACCTTCTTCTGGGTCACACTAACTAGAGGCTCCTCCTCTGGCCTAGGTGGCTACAGGGTCATTTAGATCCTAGGCAAAGGATGGAAATGTAGGATGGGAACTGTTTTAAACAGTCATGCCTGGGACTATGCCTTCAGGAGCCAGCAAACAGCTATGTTTGCCCTTGTAGCTTCCTCAAGGTATTTGTAGGGTGCTCACTATAGCCAGGGCTGGCATGAGCGCTGTCTCTGCTGACTGCTGAGTCTGATAGTCTATTGCTCATGGCAGCCAGTGTACCAGGGAAGTGTCTAACAGCTGCCAGTTAGGAATCAAATCATCCCACCCCCGCTTCCAGTTTATTGGAAGGAAAGAGAAATATTACGAAAGGCATGGATGGACATAAAGGCTTAGCGTTAACCGCGCTTTAACTGTATTTAACGGTGCTTTCACAGTGCTTGAGTCTTACCACAGAGCCTCGGAGAAGAGTTGGGTCCCTCAAATCGGTTCTAACATTGAGCAGAGGAAAACAGAGACAGATCCTGGGGGAGGAGGTACGGGGGGCCCAGGTGGACATTTGATAGGGAAACCCCTCAGAGATCTGGATAGCAGTGTCCTCATGTCTTTGGCATAATCCTAATCTAGTTGTGTATGGAATGAAATTGAATTTTTTTTTTTGGAGAGGTTGAATCGGGGAGTCTTTCTTAGAAAGCCGGTGATTGCAGGTGGACTGCTACCTCGAGGACCCGCAGCCTCGAATACACTTAATGCTGTCAGAAAACTGAGCTATGTGAGTAGTAAAGCAAAGAAAGAGCAGAAAAACACCACCAGCAAACCAGATCAACTCCACTGGAGAGGGGAAGTGGGATGCCATGGTGGCTAGAGGAGAGGCAGGGCACACTGGGGCTGGTGTAATGGCGCCTGAGCAGGTGAGGGCCTACACAGGGTCCTGGGCAGGGGGTGGGCTCACAGGGCGCTCAAGAATCAAGTTCATGGCGCGATTGGCAGGTCCAGTACTACCTATTGTCCAAACCCTGAAATTGAAATTCTTAAGGCTGGGAAAGGAATAGCTGAGACTTAAAAGCCCAACACTTCCCAGAGCACATTCCAGGGTTCTCCATATTGGGGAAAACTCACTGAACACAAAAAGCTTTCAGCCGAGTGCTGGTGGCTCACGCTTGTCATCCTAGCTACTCAGGAGGCTGAGATCTGAGCATCACGGTTCAAAGCCAGCCCGGGCAGGAAAGGATGAGAGACTCTTATCTCCAATGAACCACTCAGAAATCCCAAAATGGTGCTGTGGCTCAAGGGGTAGAGCATTGACCTTGAGCTGAAGAGCTGAAGGACAGCGCCCAGGCCCAGAGTTCAAACCCCACAACCACCAAAATAATAAAGCTTTAAGCAAGGGCCTTGGACATGGTCACAGATAAGATTCTTCTAGAACTGTTCCTGTTAAAGCTAGAGCCCTGTATCGGCAGCTCATGCTAGTAATCCTAGCTACTCAGGGAGGCTGAGATCTGAGAATCGTGGGTCAAAGCCAGACTGAGCAAGAAAAGTCCAGGAGATTCTTCTCTCCAATTAACCACCAGAAAGCCAGAAGTGGTGCTGTGGTTCAAGTGGTAGAGCCCTCACCTTGAGCTGAAGAGCTGAGGGACAGCACCCAGGCCCAGAGTTCAAGACCCACGACTGACAGGAAAAAAAAAAAAAAAAAGCTAAGAATACTCCCAGAGGATCCAGGTGGTTTGTAAATAATCATCTTTCAAAACAAACTCTATGGTCACTCAGAGGAGGACCACAAAATCTAAATCCTCAATGACGCAGAATTTACAATGTCCCGTATCAATGCAAAGAAACACGAATCTATGACTTAGAGTCAGGAGCAAACCAATCAAGGGAAACACATCTAGAAAACCAGAGACTGTGTAAGGTTATCAACAACAACAACAACAGAAAGAGCCATTAGCTGGCGCCAGTGGCTCACACCTGTCCATCCTACTCAGGAGACTGAAATCCGAGGATCATGGTTCAAAGTCAGCCCAGGCAGAAAAAGTCTCTCTTACCGCTCACCACCAAAAGGCCAGAAGTAGAACTGTGGCTCAAATGGTAGAACACTAGCCTTGAGGAAAAGAGCTCAGGGACAGTGCCCAGGCCCTGAGTTCGAGTCCCCCCCCAACACACACACAAAGAGGCACCAATACAGGTACATCTTATGAATTTTGATATCATCCATTTATGGCTTACAACTGGCAAAAATGCTACAAGTCAGGGTGTGTGCGTGCGTGTGTGTGTGTGTGTGTGTGTGTGTGTGTGTGTGTGCGTGCGTGTGCGTGTGTGTTGGTACAGGGCCCTGTCCTTTAGCTTTGTTTGCTAGTTTTTTACCAATCCTGCTGCTTGAACTCAGGGCCAGGGTGCTGTCCCTGAGCTTCTTTTGTTCAAGGCTAGCGCTCTACCATTTAAGCCACAGCGCCACTTGTGGCTTTTTCTGTGTATGTGGTATACTCAGGACTCGAACCCAGGGCTTTGAGCATGAGGCAAGCACTTGACCACTGAGCCACCTTCCCAGGGCCCCCTTAGCGTCTTTTTGTTCAAGGGTAGCACTTGATCATTTGAGCCACACCTTCGCTTCCGGCTTTTTGGTGAGTCACTGGTCTGCTGTCCTTCCTTCATGGCTAAAGAGCCAGCAATCAGGGGCCAGGGCCTCCATCTTTCTAGCAATGACATTGTCTCCTTACAGGCCGCCTCTCAGAAGCCACGGGCATGCATATCTTTCCTTGTTGGGACTTCTGGAAGGTTCTCCTCTATGTGGGCTGCTGGCACCGTTAGCTGTACCCCGCGGGCTTGAGGTCCACCCACAGTTACACACACCAGGAGAGACGACCCTGCTTGTCCTGGATCACACAGAGCTGGGTCAGGAGCTCGAGGCTTTGATCCAGTGAGCATCGTGCTCAGGGACTGGGGGACTGCTCCCCAAATTCTAAGAACTTGGAAAGAAACCAAAGATTTCAAGAGATTCGAGATATATTGAATACAGATAGAACAGACCCTACTAAGGACGAATGAAAGACGACTCTTCCTTAGCAACACACACGCGTGCACATACACACTCCATACATGTATGTGTTCACGGCTCCCATTCAGTATTTCTTCTGAGACCTCACACTTCTGTCTCCCAGGAAGGAGAAGGGAAAGGATGCAGGCTTGTGTATCCGTTTGTGGCTAGATGTTACCACATTACACATACAAGTCAGAGGTAGGTGGTACCAGTCACAAGAATGGGTCAGAGGACCGAGAATCAGTGGAGTTTGAGTTACCCACGGGCTAGTGAGTGGCAGAAGACCTTGGGATCTTGCAATTTATTATGCAACTGATTACGGTTATACAATTTATTACGAGCTCTATACAAATGGTCCTGCTTAGTGAGCCACTCTGACCCCAGAAACCCATCCTAAGGTGGAAGTGCCGAGACAAAACTACATTGCACAAAATGGGAGGGAGCCAGGGTGGAAAGAAGTCAAACCCTGGATGAAGCAGAGCCTGAAGAATTCGTTGTAGAAAAAGTACCGGCGCGACGTGCAGTGAATGGGAAGGTAGAACATTTCCTGAAGTGGAGGGGAGTTACAGACCCTGATAAGACTTGGGAACCTGAAGAAAATGTAGATTGTCCAGAATTAATTGAAGCATTTACTTGATTCTCAAAAGCTCTTGAGGGTACCAAAAGAAAAGCGTTATCCAACAGTGAATGTATATATGTGTGTGTGTATGTATATATATATAAATATATATATATGTTCACTGCTTATATATATATTACATATAATACATAAACATATTCATACATATATAAAACATTTACATACATATAAATATTTTATATTTACTTCACTTTTTTTTTTTTTCCAGTCCTGGGGCTTGAACTCAGGGTATGGGCACTGTCCCTGAGCTTTTTTTGCTCAAGGCTAGCACTCTACCACTTGAGCCACAGCACCACTTCTAATTTTTTCTATTTAGCTGGTACTGAGGAATTGAACCCAGGGCTTCATGCATGCTAGGCAAGCACTCTACCACTAAGCCACCTTCCCAGCCCCTAAACACTTCATATATATGGATGTATTTATACACACACATACAACATGTAAAATCTGAGTCTTGGTTTTTGAATTAATGGTGGGAAACACTAAGTTCT